TACAATTATAATAAAATAAAAAATTTTAATTCTAAAACTAATTTTAATTAATTTTAAATCAAAATTAGTTTCATTGACTAAAATTACAAAGAGTTTGACTGAAAAGTTCACAGCAAATCCGATGTAAACTAATTTGTAATGTAAACAATAAATTAAAAGACTTTTGTGTGAACTAAAACCTTTGGACAGTTTGGTCGCCTTATAAGCCGTTCTATACATTAATAATTTAAAATATATTTAAACTAAAAATTCATACAATTATTGAATAAATTATGAAAAGTGTCGATAATTTCCAAATTATATGAATTCAATTTAAATAATAAGCCGAATATAAGGCACATATGATAAGGCAATCAGTAATCAGTTCCTCCAATACTGCATCAAAAGAAAGTAATATTAGAATCAAATCATCAAAAGGATTACACGTATAATGAAAACCTGAGCCATTTTGTGGATCTGCTCGACAACGGCTGGAATGACTGCTTTAACGCTCACATCAATGAGCGCTTGCATGTAGTGAACGGCCTCCTCGTCGTTGAGGTCGAGTCTGAACTTATCCTGAACTTTCTTAACCGTTTTGTCGGGTTCTAAGGCAATGTCGGGGACACTGGCGTCGACCATAAGCGAGAATAAGTTCAGTATTAGGTTCGCGTGTCGTCTTAGATGCAGAAAAGCCGTATAACACAGCTTTCGAAAGGACTGGTAGTGTTCGGAATTAGTGCCGCCCATGGCGTCCACCATTTCACGACTTAATTTCATTGGCGGTGGCATTGGTTTGGGATCTCTGCCCAGAATGAACCCGAAGTCTATGTGAAACAACTTTCCGGTTCGCGTCAGTAATAAATTATCTAAATGTCGGTCACCGACGCCCAACAGGTATGTTATCACACAATAACCAGCTTTTTATGGAAATATAATTAAAACCTTTACAAACAATTGCATCAAATAATATGATTATAATTACCGCATGACTTGACGTACGCGTCCATTACTTCAGGAGATATGCCATATATGGCGTCTGCGGGCGTATGCTTTCGGAAGTAGTTTTGAATACTTCCTTCGGCTGCCAGCGCTTCGGCCACTGATATCGAGTCAATGAACTGAACGAATCCGTGTTTACTACTTGTGGCCAAAACCCTATACGGAGTGAGCTTTAAGTCGAGGTTCTCTCTGCGCAACAGTTTATCCATTAAAGTAATCATTTGAAGGATGAGCTGATCCTGTCTGAGGTCATCGCCGTGTTTGAAGATTAGGAAATACTCGCTATTATTTGTGGTCATAAACGCCAGTTTTCCCGGCATAAGAGCGCTCTTGAAAAGTGTAGCTTTGGAGGGCATGACACCCGTTATCTTAATGTCGGGGTCGAGGGGTAGGGGTAAGGGATCAAAGGTCGTGAAATTGATTTTGAAGGTATCGGCGTCGGACAGCAGGTTCTGGAGGCGTTCAATCTTCTTCTTTCGGTTGCCGTTCTCTCGCGCCACCACTTTCATCAGTGCTACCAATTTCTCTACAAATGTCTGCTGTCTGGTCAGCAGCTGTCGGCGCGCCTTCATGTCGGCGCTCCCTCTGTGTAGTCTACAACTGAATCGTCTCATCATTATTAGGTACATATCGCTCACTCGAATCGGTTCACTGGCATTGTTGGCATTAGTGGTAGTGTTGGACACGTCATTGATTTGTCCGTTTTCGCACTCAACCATCAAATACCAGAAGAAATAGTTGGCTAACGTGTCGTTCGCACTCGTCCTCGAGATCAGGAATGTCGACAAATCCTCCTTCAATACCATCAATACGTGTCAACAACTCATACATTCACGGCTACAGTATTTCAATAATATTACCTCTTTTTCATTGGCATCACTTTCAATGTTTTCATTGGTTTGGACTTCAATTCTCAACGAATTTAAGGAATCACTCAAAACAGCGGACGATGTGCTGCTCTTTCTGTCAATCAATCAATAATAAAAACAACACTTTTATAAACAGTGTTTATATTGATATAATCCACAATCAATACCTTTCTCTATCGGTAGTCTTGTCTTCCATAGGAATAGTCTTTTCCCTTTCAAATGCAAGTCTAATGTCTTCAAAGTTCTCATACTTGAGCGCCTGAACTAATTGCAGTAAATATAACAGCAGTTCCTAAGCAATACAAAACATAATTACAATGACCTAAGAATCAAAACAAGTGGTCTTGTGATGAATACCTCGTCGGGTGCGTGTCGTAGACGTGTGACGGCATATCGTCTGACGGCCTGGTGTTGGAACAGAGGCGACAACAGTTCCAACGCGTCCTCGATGTCGATGGGTTGCCAATTGGCGAGCAATTGGATGGCCTGATGTGCTTCGTTAGTCAACTGCCAGTTGACAGACTTCAGGAATTTAGTCAACGCTTTCTTCTGATTCACTAAATAGAAGCGGAATTTCCACAATAAGTCCTGTTCTTCATTAGTCAACACTTTGGTTGGAGGGTAACACATAATGGCATTCAATTGGTCTCTGACCGCCGCGTTCGGCTTCAGATCCCGATCATTGATACCACTCCTCACACTTCGGGACAGCTTATGGTGTTTGCTTTCAACCAGATTTTCCAGTGACATCTCCGGGTCGGCAATTATCACCAAATCATTCTCAATGAAGCTGTACTGACAGCTCTCTTCAGCTCCCCTTTCGAAGTATACCACCGAATGGTCGACACCATTGATGGACACAACGGGAAACTCAATCGAGAGGTAGATATAACTGGTGTTCTTCTTCTCATTCTGAACCTTATTCTCGATCTCCAGAAACGTGAGTCTATCCAACCAATCAATGCGAACCAATTCGCCGTTTCTGTACTTCTTCTTCAGCTAAATTCAAACATTTCTTATTACACTCTGTTTTACATCGAAAACACTATTCAATACTTTATTCAATCGATTGATTTCATCCGAGATATTATGCTTTCCTTTATTCATGTGATTGTCATCCGAGTTGTTGTTAGTGTTCGGCCAAACCCTCAGGTCATACATCCCTCTCCGCAATGAGCCGTGTTTTCCGAAGACTGTGATCGCAGTTCCGCCCAAAATGAGAGGTTTGCCGCCACTGGATGTGTCAACAACCGTTAGACTTAAGAGAGTGTCGCGAGGAATGTCTGACAGTTTCAGAGGGAATAACAGCCACTCATTCCAGCTGTCAATTGATGGCAATTAGAGTTAGTTTAAGACAAACAAAATGTGTGAATGGATGCTTCACTGACTCAAATCTGGTGGTCATATGTTTGTAAGGAGTCTGTTGTGTTGGACACAAGAGGTGTCCATTGGAATAGAGATCACATGTTATGTAAAGATGTGGTGATACCAAGTGATCATTAAGTTTACAGTTGGTCTCCAATCCCTCTAAAGTACCGCTGAATTGACATCAAATGAAAAAAAAATTATAATTGCGTTCAGAATAAAGTGATAATAATCGGTGAGACAAGTGATTACCATTTGATCCTAAAGAAGACGTCATCCAAGTCTGAAGTGTAGATGAAATTGAATTTATGGCTCTCTTTGACATCGGATTCAGTGTTCAATTGAGTGGTGTTTTGCTGAGTGATGGCTGCGGACGACTGAATGGACATACTTGCGATGGACTGGTCGTGTGGTTCGGCGATAATCAAAGAATCACTTCATTTGATCCGTTATTTGCAAATTGCGTCCAAAACTGATTCAATGTTTTGATAACAAAACAACTGAACAACTGATCACTCGTTCAATGCATACAACCATTCATTACGTCATAACCGATGAGTCAATCGCTGTTATGTTGTATTTGAATGACTCGTCAACACATGTGCTTCACATGAATGCGTGCTTTCATTGCATTTAAATTTTAAATGTAATTAACATTTGGTTTGGATTTCAATTTGCTGTCAATTTGGTGTCAAATTAGTGTCAAATTGAGTACAAAAGCGGTCGACAAGTGATGCGAATCGCCGGCAAAGCGACGAAAGGGAAGGGCAAGCGATGGACGAAAGGGGGGTCCAGTAGTTGCAACCCTAACACCAATAAACACCGACTCCACGCCCGCACCGGCACTTTGGTGGCCACACACTCGCCATCACTACCACCACATCCGCGACAGTCATCACTCCGATTGAGTCCCAATGTCTTACATCAACACAATTTGACTCAATTACAGAAATTAGGTTTAGATGATCGCCAGTCACTGACCACCACTTCCAACCACAACACACCCGATGATGAGTCAATCGGCGGCCAATCATTTGCCAGCGTTTGGACCAACTGTTCAAACGTTAGTTTCAATAAACTGTTGCTTGGATTCGACTCTTCGTCTGCCATTCATAAGCAGATGTTATCGGTGTTGGCGGCCATTACGGAGACCATCACATCAAACGGTGGCCAACAGTCAGAAACGGAGTATTTCGCGGCTCTCATGACATGTCTGGAGAATGTGGACACTGAGGAGACACTGACGGCAGTTCTGTGTCTGATCCAAATGGTGATCAAACGGTTGCCCCCGAATGTGATTCGACTGAAGTTTTCGGAAACTTCTAAAGTGTTTGTCGACTATTTGGCGAAATATATCAAAGGAGACAACGGTATGATCGCTGAGTCGCTCACCAATAGTTTGGCGACACTTCTACAGCACCAGGAGTTCGCCGTTTGGGAACTGAGTTCAACCAAAAATATCTTTGAGATAATCCTTTCCCTTACCGTTCATAATAAGCCCCGAATCCGGAAGTGCTCGCAACGATCTATCGCAAGGATTCTTAAGACAAATATAAACCAATCGAAGACTTCTTTATGTCATCCGATCGCTAAACTAACCGCAGATTTCTGTATCAGAAAACTTGAAGATCACGGAACCAATGATGACATTAATTCAACGCTTTATGTCTTGAATTTATTGACTGATATCTTATCAGTTCTGCCGAACGCCGGCCTCAAGAAGTGTTGTGAAGCAATACTAACACAAATGACTTTCGGGAATGTGTTGATCGTTTCGACCGCTTTTAAGGCCTTTTATGTGATGTTTTCCGCGAATCCACACCAAGACATCCTCACACCTGATCTCAACGCTAAGTTGATATCAGCCCTCTATGACTATCAGCCAAACATTAATGACAGTCAACCCCTTTGCGCGTGGGTTGAAGCCATCAGACAAGGCTTTCTTAACTTATACCGAATCAACAAAAAACTTTGTTTTAATCATTTGCCCAAATTGTTTAACACTTTAATTACTTGTCTGTTGTCCGACTCGAAAGAAGTTCATTTGAATGTCACCAATAACTTGAAGCAAATTTACTCACAATGTATCCAAAGTTCTTGTCTTGAGATCGACCAACTTATCATCGAAAGAGTCTATTCGAGTGTTGAAAAATCACTTCAATACGAGTATTTCAACGCTTATATCCCTATCTTTGAATTGATATCTAAGCTATTGAATGAAAATTTTAAAGATTTTACGGCTAATATTATAACTAAATTAATTACAATCCGCGAGAGTTATGATAACGTTTATGCATCCAATGTCGACCGTACCATCGGTCGTGCCGTTCAAGTGTTTGGACCCAAATTTGTTGTCACTTTGTGTCCATTGGATCTAAACGAAGATAATACAGATATATCTCATAATTGGTTGATTCCAGTGATCAGAGACAACACCAAAGGCACTGAATTAGCCTTTTTTATCGACCATTTCCTTCCAATAGCGACGACTTTACTAAAGACATGCAAAAAGTTAGAAACGGATGGAAATATAGTAACCGCAAAGACCTGTGCTATTCTATTATCACAAATTTGGTCACTTTTGCCATCGTTTTGTAACCAACCGAACGATTTCGACAAATCATTTAAAAGAATCGCCAAAATGTTGGGCGATTTGCTGTCAACTGCGGCACCACTTCGACGCTATGTTTTGTCGGCCTTTAGGAATATATCCAAAGGTCTTGAAACTCCATTGGGAGACACGTTTCGCACAGAATTGAGTCGATTCGCCAAAAACTTTATTCCGATTCTCTTTAATATTTACACGAATGAAGAAAATGAATCAAAAAATCAACGAAATTCTGTTTACGAAATAATCGAAATATTCTTCTCGGTTGCCGACAATTCTTTACTCATTTCATTGCATCAAAAAATAGCCGACAAATTACAGAATTGCGAAAGTAATCCATTTATGAGACAATCGTTGATGGATTTGATTCGCGCTTTTATTCCATACCTCGGGAGAGAAGAATTGAATCAAATTTACACTCAATTAGTGATTGCTTTCATTGGAGACAATAAATTGATTACTGAACAGAAGAAAGCATTTCGTATATTAGGAGAGATTTGTCGCAATGAGTCCAATGTATGCAAAGACTTTATGGCCACCAGTTTGAGTGTTGTTTTAAATTTATTGATTGAATCGCTTTCAAAATGTTTGTCTTCTTCGAAGTCATTTGCATTGAAAGCACTGATTGATATCATTAGTAATAACGAGAACTTAAATAATAAATCAATTGAATGGAAGAATATTTTACTGGAAATAATGACGAAAACATTAAATTGTTTTCTAATTAACTCACGAAAAGTTAAAACCACGGCATTGGATCTGATTATTAGTATTGCAAACGCTTATAAATCACTGGATTCTGGAGATGTTAACAACCATTTCTTTGAAACAATGATTTCATTTATGAAAAACAGTGAATACCCGACCTCTGCAGTCATTGTCTGTTTGACGCGTTTGTATCAAGATTTTCGTAATGAAATCCCTAAACATATTGAATGCGATTTAATCGAGAATATGATCACAAGTCTTGGTTCAGAGAACCGACAAATAATTCAATCGTCTCTGGATTTTGTGAAGTATTTCTTCAAAACTGCTTCATTGGATCAGTTGTCGACATATTTGGAACTCTTGATCAGCAATCTATCGAATATCAATCGCCGCCATAAAAATCACTTCCGGATGAAAATTAAAGAAATGTTTGTCCGTTTGGTTCGCAAATACGGGTATTTTATACATGTTTTTTGTATTACAAAATAGTGTTGAGTTTTAATTTACTTTTATTTTAAATGTTTAGTTATGTAATGGTTTCGAAGATGATTCCCGAAGAGTACAGAAAAGTGTTGAAAAATATCCGAAAAGTTGAGGAAAGAAAGAAAAGGTTTACTGAAGACAATGAAAGTGACGGACAAACCCATATCACATCCAAATCCAAAACGTATTTATTTTTATATTTTGTTATGAAATTAATTAATATTTTTAACTAACTTTTAACAGAAGTCGCAAAGAGTTTGAGGACATAATTGCCAACTCGTCTGACGAGGAATCTGAAAATGAAGACCAAATGACAAATGTTTCGCATAAAGATCTCAAGTCTTGGATGAAAGACGAGTCGAATGATAACGAAATCATTGATTTGTTGAGCACTAAAATGAGTCAAAATATTTTGCATAAAGACCCGGAAATAAAGCCAAAGGAGAAGAAAGAATTGTTTGAAACGACTTCCGATGGAAAGCTTGTGATCGAAGACTTGGATAAACCCAAGAGAGGCACCAAAAGACGGTTAGAAGGCGACGAACGCATGGATTTGGATCAGGACGACGACGACATGGATGGCGATGTCGTGTCCAATAAGCAAAGTGTGAAGACTTCCCATTCCCGTCAATCAGGTTACAGAACGGGAGGGAAAGGTATTCACAGAAATGTTAATAAAGAGTTTGGAGAGGAATATAAGTCTAACAAAGCGAAGGGCGATATGAAGCGTAAGGGAAGACCCGATCCTTTCGCTTATATACCACTCAACAGACAAACGCTTAATAAACGAAAGAAAGCCAAACTGAGCGGACGTTTCAATAATCTGGTGAACGCCGCCCGAAAGGGGGCTAAAGTGGGCACTAATAAGAAGTCAAAGAAAGCGCGTAAAAATTGATTTAATTGTATGAGAAAATCATTTATTTAACTAAAATTTTATAATAAAGATCTAAATGTTGCTAAAGTTTCAACTCATTGGACTTTTTATGTGTTTTGGTTGAAGTGTTTTTCTGTAATTTATTTTTAGTGATTACTTGAGTTGTCTTTTCCTGTAATTTATCGAAGAATGCTTTCGAAGAACTTAAATGTTTGACGTCTTCTGAGGATGTGTTCGAGTCTTTAGTTTTCTTTTTGGTGGCCTTTTCTTTGCTTTCATTGTGTTTGAATTTTTTGCTTTGAATACTCTTTTTCACTCTTCGGTCGCGCTTTCGATCCGTTTTTGATTTCTCAGACTTTGTCTGCAATTCTCTCTTCTGATTATTGAAGACCTCCTGCGGGGCTAAGAGCGACACCTCACTGGTGGCCAACGGCGTCACCTCTTCCACAGTAATGGCCGGCATATTGTTAATGATTTTGATGTCGGGCTGAACGGGACGGGGAGTGAAGTGGAAACTCGAGAGAGCGTCCAATTGGACGAATAGACTGCGCAATGATTTCTTGATCTCTTTGTGCTCTGAGTTCTCGTTCTCTTCCTTCTCGTTCTGCTGTTGTCTTAAGAATTCCTTTTCGTATATTTGAGACAAACTTTGTTTACTTTTCTCCGAATCCATGGTAAGTCTTCGGCGGTATTCAAATGGCTTCTCTTTGGGCTTAACTTTGCGGACGACATCATCGTATGAATTGTCTTTAATTCTCTGTTTTATAATGTCCTCCAACTTGAAAGTGGTCTCTTCGGTGATCAGTGGCGCCGGTCTTGAGGTGTGATCGAAGTGCAGGTGCTCTTCGAGAAGACTGTTTTCAGGTCTTTTGTCGGATGAGATTTCGCCACTCATTTGCCACGACTTTGTCAACAGATTCAGTCGTTCCTGTTTCGCGATCTTCTCGTTCAATGAGTCCTGAATCCTCTCGAACTCTGATTTGTCTTCATTTAAATCATTGCTTTGTTTTTCACTACTTTTATAAAAGGGTTCGTTTTCCTCATCACTACTACTGCTCTCATCCAATGCTATGTCTATGTCTTTGGTCTTGTCTTTCAGATTAAGTTCATTCATATCAACATCTCGTGTGTCGATATTGTCATCA